GCCCCCACCACGCATTGTTCCCCTCCAGTGACAGTTCAGAATACAGCTGCCAGCCCGTCCACAGTTCGAGGACAGGAATCCTCGCGCTCGGTCCCTGAGGCCACCTTCACCCCAACGGCAGCTGGACTCAGGGAGCCAGAACTCGGAGACATTTTCTCCGATGGCCGCCTTGAGGCCCTGCTCTCCAAGGTTGTAGACCAGGCACTCGCGGCACGGTCTTATCAACTGCCCGGACAGGAGGCTTCTACCTCTGTTATTCCGCCTTATGTACCTCCACCAGGGATTCCCTTACATCAGGAACCCACATCTCCCACCCATTCCTCAATTAATGGCTACTTGTCCCCGACGGGAGGTGATCAGCCGGATTTCAACTTGTCAGAGGAGGAAGAGCTTCCATCTGACCCCTCCCCGTCAGGAGGTCTTTTCAATCCAACCTTATTCCTTCCCTTGTTTCGCAAAGCCACCACGATGGCCAACATAGGGTCCGATCAGTTCCCTCAGCTGCAATCCACATCCGAGGCGAGCCTGAACCCGGTCTTCTTCGAAACCGTGGCAGCCCAGCACCATGCTCCCTGTCCTTCTATTTTTCTTAAAGGGGTTAAGAAGCAATGGGTTTCCCCATAATCTTTCCCCTCCATAGGTGCAACAGACAAAAAGATATTTAGCACCTCTACAGACTTAACTGAGGCCCTGGAGGTACCAAAGGTGGATGAAGCGTGGACCCGTCTCGTGTCCCAGACTGCGGTTTCCGGGGACATGGCTGAGGCGGAGGATAGGAAATGGGACTTAGCCTTCCAAAAGACCCATCAATCGGCCGCGTGGGCAATTAAAACAGCCACTTGCACGTCCTTTTTTGTCCAAACCACCCTCCTATGGCTTTGTCAGCTTCATGCCAGATTCCCTCTCGAGGACATTTGTACCCATCAGGACCTAAGCAAAATGGTGGCAGCAACGGAGTATGCGTCGGACGCAACTCTACAGTCGGCCAACTTTGCTTCCAGGTCCTTAGCCTCCAACGTCACCGCTAGGAGGATGCTATGGCTTAAGCACTGGCAGGCCGACGCCAAAGCCAAATGGCGTCTCGCAACCGTCCCCTACCAAGGCAATCACCTCTTTGGGGAGGCCCTGAATCCATACCTTGTGGAAAACAAGGATAAGCGGAAGGTCATGGCTCATCTCACCAAACGGTCTGACAAGCATGCCACTCCTTATTCCCGTAGGCAATCCTTTTGGCCAGCTTCGGGACCAGCAGCCACCCAACCCTCATGTCCTTTCACTCCCAGACAATACCGCCCATATGACCGTCCATACGACAGGGCAGGCTTTTGGCCCAGACAGCAGAAAACAAATGGCCATTTCGAGGGGCAGGACGTCCCTTCAGGCGGTCCAGGTGACTCTCATGTCACCCTCCTCATAGGGGGCAGGCTCCCCCATTTCTTCCATCGGTGGGAGCTTACAACCACGGACAGCTGGGTATTACAGACCGTCCAATACAGTCTGTCCCTCGAGTTTCTGTCCAATCCCCCGGGTCATTTCATCACCTGCCCCACATCTCGGGATCCAATCAAGTGGGGGCTTATGCAGGAGGCCATTCATCATCTTTTGGAAATACAGGCCATAGAACCGGTACCGCCAGATCACAAGGGAAGGGGATTCTACTCCATCCTCTTCGTAGTTCCCAAGACCTCAGGGGGATGGAGGGCAATTTTAGACCTCAAGGATCTGAATTATTACATCACATACAAAAAATTCAAGATGCAATCACTCCAGTCCATCCTGGGAGGCATCAGACAGGGAGACTTCCTGGTGTCAATAGACCTCACGGAAGCGTATCTCCACATCCCCATCCTTCCAGATCACCAGCGGTTTCTCAGGTTCTATTACAGAGGCCATCACTTCCAATACAAGGCCCTCCCGTTCGGCCTCTCCTCGGCACCCAGGGTGTTCACCAAGATCCTGGCTGTGCTGGCCGCCCATCTACGGAAGGTACCGGTACGCGTCCAGTGCTACCTGGACGACATCTTGATCCAAGTGTCCTCCTTCCGGGCGGCCCAGTCGGACCTGGACCTAATGGTTCAGGTCCTCCAACAACACGGGTTCTCAGTGAACTTCCGGGAAAGCCAGACGGTTCCCTCATCCAGATGTCTGCACCTGAGAGCCATCATAGAGACCACAAACTGTATGGTCTATCTTTCCCAGGAGCGGTTGGTTAGCATCAGGGACCTAGCTCGCTGAGTGTACAAAGACCGCACCGTTCCACTGATCTTGTTCTCCCTACTAGGGAAAATGGTTTCCTGCATAGCCATAGTTCCCTGGGCCAGACTCCACTTGCGGGAGCTCCAATGGTTCCTTCTACCGTTCCAGCGGTTGAACGCCAGCGCAGGTGAGGCTCCCGGTCCAAACCTTGAGGTCTCTTCGCTGGTGGTTCTCACAGGCGGTTACCAAGGGGTCACCTTTCAATGAGCCTGACTGCCTCACAATCACAACGGACGCCAGTCTGTTCGGTTGGGGGGCCCACCTACAGTCTCAGTTTGCGCAGGGCCATTGGTCCCACGCAGACTTGAGACACTACATCAACTGGCTGGAACTCAGGGCCATTCACTTAGCTCTTCGCCACTTCCATCACCAGATCAGAGGCCATCACGTATTGGTCCTTACGGACAACGTGGCATCCAAGGCCCATGTGAACCGGCAGGGGAGCACCAGGTCCAAGTCCCTCATGTCCGAGGCCCAGTTGCTGGGATCCTGGGCAGAGTCCAACCTGTCCTCCCTCAGGGCTGAGCACTTCTCAGGGGAGAAGAACCGGCAGGCAGACTTCCTGAGTCGCTCTATGATAGATCCCTTGGAATGGGGACTACATCCGGATCTTTTCTCCGAGATATCCCGAAGTTTCGGCCAACCGGTCCTCGATCTGTTCGCGTCGTCGAGCAATGCCCAACTCCCCAGGTACTTCTCCCGCTATTCCCAGGGGCAGAGGGGACGGATGCCCTGCGGACTCCATGGCCGGAGGGCCTACTTTACGCCTTCCCTCCCCTCCCGCTCATCCCGGCGACCATCCGCAAACTGCTCAAGGAGCAGGTGGAAGTGATCCTCGTGGCCCCGTACTGGTCACGGAGGCCCTGGTTTGCCGACCTAATGAATCTCTCCCGTTCTTCCCCGTGAAAGATTCCCCCTCATCACGTGTCCTTACACCAGGGGGTCCTCCAACACCCGGACCCTCAGTGGTTACAGTTAGCCGCCTGGCACTTGAGTGCACGATCATGACTCAAGAGTTGTTCTCGCCACGGGCAATCACCATGATTCAGGCCTCTCGTAGGCCAGCGACCAATCACATTTATGATTCCACCTGGAAAAAATTTTGCCATTGGTGCGGAAGGCGGCAACTGGATGTTTACAAATTGACTATTCCTCAGATCGTAGACTACCTTCTCGACGGTCTTGACAGAGACCTGGCCCCTGCGACCATTCGTAGGCAAGTGGTGGCCCTATCAACGTTGCTCACTTGCGTAAATTCAGTACCTCTAGCTCACCGTCCTAGGATACACGCCTTCATCAAGGGCGCTTGCAACACGAGACCTCCAGTGGTGCACAGGTATCCCTCTTGGGAGCTGCCTCGTGTGCTTCGCACACTCACGAAACCGCCCTTTGAGCCCATTACTACTATACCGTTACGGGCCTTGTCTCACAAGGTCGCATTCCTGGTCGCCATCACTTCAGCCAGACATATTTCCGAGCTGGCTGCTCTCTCAATCAGGAATGATCTTTGTATCTTCCACCGGGACCGGGTGGTCCTTCGGTTGGATCCCACCTTCGTGCCCAAGGTCAACTCACTCTTCCATAGGGCACAGGAAATCATTTTGCCTAATTTTTGTTCCAATCCTTCCCATGACTTGGAGCGGCAGTGGCACACACTTGACGTCCGCAGGACTCTGCGGCGTTACATCGAGCGCACGGCACCTTTTCGCCGGTCTGAGGCCCTCTTTATTTCCTTTCTCCGGGCTTCCCTGAGGCAGAAGGTGTCCGCTTCCACCATAGGCAGGTGGATCAGGGCTTGTATCGTGGAGGCGTACCAGTCTTCTTCCCTGCCAGCTCCAAGTTATATCACTGCCCACTCCACTCGCAGCACTGCGACCTCTGCGGCATGGGCCACTCAGGCGTCCATCGAGGAGATTTGCAGGGCTGCGACATGGTCCTCGCCCTCTCCATTTGTACGCCACTATAGGATCGACTGCTTCGCTTCCGCGGATGCCTCCTTTGGTCGGAGGGTCCTCCAGCAGATGGTTTCCGGGGACGTTGAGCCAGCTTTATCTGTTTCCCACCCACTGGGACAGTTAGGCTTTGGTATCTCCCATTGGTGGATTCTCCATCTCCTGTACTGGAGAAGGGCGTTGTCTTACCTGAATGCCTTTTCTCAGTACAGAGATGGAGAATCCACTCCCGCCCCTTAGGTCAGTTAGGCCGGATTTAGGGGTCTGAGAGCCAACACCTAGTTCTACCATCAGCCACTTTCGCTCTCGTCAAGACTGGATCTCCTAGCAACAGGGGGCGTGTCAGGTTTAGCTACTTGGTCTCAAGAGCAGGCAGACAGAGAAAACCCATTGGTGGATTCTCCATCTTCGTACTGAGAAAAGGCGTTCAGGTAAGACAATGCCCCTTCACCAGAAATTGAAGACAAGGCAAGGGCAAGTTACCACATCAAATACATGCCCCAGCAAAAACTAATTTTGATAGGCAAAGCTATTTTGCTCTGACTTATCCATTGCTCTTTCAACCCTCCATAAAACAGATACAGAACAAGACAAATAATTAGTTTAAGTTCAGTTAACCTAATAATTCTGTAATAGAAACAGTATTACTTTTTATGAATTCTGATTTATCCAAATGTTGCTTGCTGCCCTTCTGAAAATGATAATATCATTATTTTTCTGTGCTGTTGATTTAATATTTTACGTGTAGGCTTTGTGATGTCACAAACATTAATTAATTTTTCTTTTTTCCAGACAATGCCGATGTTGCATTAGTGAATTTTTATGCTGATTGGTAAGTATTTCTATACAATCATATATTTTTAGTAATGTAGAAATTGGGATTATTTTCTGCTTTTAAAAAGCATTTATAAATGTAAGATAAACAGAAACTTGGAAATATAAATTTAGTACTTTTCAAACTAAATATATGATCACACTTTTTCTTGTCAGTATTCTTCAAAGGTACAGTATATTGTATTGGGGTTCAATTATGAGCAATTCTAATTATACTTTATTCTTCAGGAATGTTCTCATGAAACATAGGGATTTTTTTCCTTCTTTCTTATTGTCAAGAGAAATAAATAAATAAGAATATAAAGAACAGTGGCTGGAATTGGGTATGTCTAGTTTAATGAAGAGAAGGACGAGGGGTCATATGATAGCAGTGTTCCAATATCTCAGGGGCTGCCACATAGAAGAGGGAATCAAACTATTCTCCAAAGTACCGGAAGGCAAGACAAGCAACGGATGGAAACTAACCAAAGAGAGAAGCAACCTAGAACTTTCCTGACAGTTAGAACAATTAATCAGTGGAACAGCCTGCCTTAAGAAGCGGTGAATGCTCCAACGCTGGAAGTTTTTAAGAAGAGACTGGACAGCCATTTGTCTGAAATGGTATAGGGTTTCCTGCCTGAGCAGGGGGTTGGACTAGATGACCTCCAAAGTACCTTCCAACTTAATTATTATTACTTTAAACCCCTTCCTCAAAGATTAGGAAGATATTCCGATTACCTTGGTTCATTGATTTTTCTGTGTAAAGAAATCTCTTGTGTAATGTACTGTAGAACATTTGCTTTCAGTAATTCTGTGTGATACTACAATGTGAAATCCTCTAATACCTTATTTTTAGAAATTGCCTCTTATTTGATATCTTTCAACAGGTGTCGATTTAGTCAAATGCTACACCCTATATTTGAGGAAGCTTCTAATGTAGTTAAAGAGGATTTTCCAGATAAGAATCAAGTTGTATTTGCCAGAGTAGATTGTGATCAGTACTGTAAGTAAACTGCTTTAAGAACTTGTTTATGTTTTAAATATCTAGTTGTAAAAATTTAGTTATTAGAATAAGCTAAGATCTTGCAGATCTTGAACATAGATATATTGCTGATTTAAGAAATTGATTATGTGCCATAAATATGAATTTTTAGCAAGCAAATATATAGATTTCTCTCTGTAACAACCTGTCCCTAATTTGATATTTCAGGTCTTCCAATGGTGTATCTATCACCATTATAATTGAGTCAATCTACCTTGTTTATCATAATTACTTAAAAATTACATTTTTCACTTCTTCGTTTCTTCAAAGCTCCTACTGGACTCTAGTCAAGAATCACTTCTTTCATTTTTTCCAATATTAGGATTCCACTTTTCTGCAGAAAGAATATTTAAATGTCTTGTGTTGGCAAGATACATTTCTCTGTATTTTAGTTTTTTGAATGTGGCTTATAATTAGCATTTAGAATTATTCATTTTGGAACAAATTGTATTTACAATGTAGATATCATCTTTCCTTATGCAATTGCAATGCCTACAGGAAACAGAAATAGGACCTTTTTTGTAACTGCATTCAGAATGGTCAGCCTAACATAGCTGTCTTATTTTGATGTACAATTGATCAGGTATGCTACAGATTTTAGCAACTGGTCTGCTAAGGCACAGCAAATGATAAGGAATTATTGATGACTTTTATTATACTTTATGTCTAGTAAAAAATATTTTCCTGCTTTTAGAACCAATATAAAGATGTTTTTCTGGAGAATGTATGGAACCTTAATGTGATTCTAGAAAGGTCTTAACTCTTTTTTATTATTTTAATCATATTTCTAAAATTAGAAATAGAAGCTGTTATAAGACCTATGTTAGTTGAAAATTAAATACCATATTTTTATTAAAATCATAATTTAATGAATACAATGATAAATGATACTGTAATAGTATGGAAAAGGAAGTATTAAAAATGATATCTTATTTGATAGTGAATGTTATGTCCTAAAAATGGGTAAGTAGTAATCAAGAACAAGTCAAGCAATCATGTAGTTCTCCTTCCAGTTGAATGAAATTCTGCTGCTAATGAAGTGAGTTGTGGAATACTAAAAAGTGTGCTTGGGATATAAATTTACAATGTGATGTTACTGCACTATAACACTGCACCCATTTAATTTTTCTACATATCTTTTATTAAGCATTTTTAAAAATAGATCTTTGGTCTCGTCTCCATCCTACCTGTAATGGATAATAATGACATAACATTAGCTTGGGCTATTCTGGATAAGGATTCTTAGCCTTTTGTTTCCTGCCAGTTGAAATCTCTATTAATATGTCAATAATAGAGGTATTTTTTAAAATGATGCTTAGGCAGTCATTAATTCATCTTCAGTAAAACATTTAAATAATTGGCAATAGTAATAAGACTACACGCATAGCAGAGCAATTTGAATTCTGTAATACAAACTTCATGTGATACTGTGAAACCAAACGACTGTAACATTTTGTATCAGTTGAAGTTTCCGCTTTGTAGCTGCGTAACCCTCCATTGTGCTCATAATAGAAATCAAGCTAGGCATTAACATTCTTAACCCACATAACAGTGTATATACCACTGTTCTGAGGTCACTTTACTTCCTCATTTACCACTTTGGGTGTCGAGATATATACAAAGATTTGACTCTTGCACTTCTTGCGGCCTCAACCATTGTTATTTGATGCTGCTGTAGCGTGTCTTTGATGTTGTCTCTCTATCTTTTTCTGGGTTGCCTTCTCCTCTTTTTCTTTTTATGTTTGCCTTGTATGATATAGAATCCCCAGACATTCTCTCCAGATGGGCAAACTACTTCATTTGCCATCTTATAAGTAGTTTAATATTGGTTCTATTCCAATACTTTGTCTTATAATCTCACTTCTGGTTGTATTCTTTCTAGTCACTCCTGAAGCTTTCCTCAAACATCTCATTTTCGTAGTAACTAACTTTTGTTTATGTTTTATTGCAAGTGTCCATGTTTGGCACTGATATGTGGGAATGAATATGCTTTGTATGAGATGCTTCTTTGCACTAATTGGTACTGCCTTATTTTATAGGAGTGGAGCTAGCTCTTCCAATACTTGATTTGCCTTACTGCATCATATGTTAATCTCTTCATCCATTTTTCTTTTTTCAGTAAATGTTGTTTCTAAATATTTCAACTCTGATACATGTTTTTATGCAACCCTCAATTAGAATAGAGCTGGAAAGGACCTTGGAGCTCTTCTAATCCAACCCCCTGCTCAAACAGGAGAGTTTATACCATTTCAGACAAGTGACTGTCCAGTCTCTTTTTAAAAACCTCCAGTGATGAAGCACCCACAACTTCTGATGGAAACTTGTTGCACTGGTTAATTGTCCTCACTGTTAGAAAGTTTCTCCTTAATTCCAGGTTGCTTCTTTCCTTGATTAGTTTCCATCCATTGTTTCTTGTCCTGCCCTCTGGTGCTTTGAAAAATAAGTTGACCTTCTTTTCTCTAGAAAAGGCATGTCAAACTGCCAGCCCACGAGCCGGATGTGTCACGCCGAAACCGCACCCACCCCATTGCTGGCAATGGGGGAAAAGTCCCGATATGTCGTGGGACATCATGTGATGTCGCAAGTTTGACATGCCTGCTCTAGACTAACCAAAGTCAAATCCCGCAACTATTCTTCATATGTTTTTGTCTTCAGGCCTTTAGTCGTCTTAGTTGCTCTTTGTATTTTTTTCAAAATCTCAACATCTTTTTTGTAATGTGGTGACCAAAACTAGATGTAAAGCAATACTAATATTTCGTGTGATTTTGATTCTATGCCTTTGTTTATACAACCAAGGATTGTATTAGATTTTTTGGCTGCTGCTGCACACTGCTGACTCATATTTAAGTGATTGTTCACTTGGACTCCAAGATCCCTCTCATAGTTACTGTTTTTGAGCCAGGTTTTGCCTAATCTGTACTTGTACCTTTGGTTTTTCCTGCCTAAGTGTAAAATCTTGTTTTTTTCCACATTAAATTTCATTTTGCTGGATAGGGGCCATTGTTCAAGTCTCTAAACATGTTTTTGGATTCTGAGTTTGTCTTCTGCAGTGTTGGCTAATTCTGCCAGCTTAGTTGCAAAATTTGATGAGCTCCCCTTCTATTCCCTTATCTAAGTCAGTGCTTTTCAACTTTTTCACAGATTATACCACTTTTAGGATGTGGCAATATTCGAGTATCACCAGTCACCTTGCAAGATGTCAAAAACTTGATGACCCCCCAAAAAGGAAAAAAGTGATAAACTAAGGTAGTCCTTGACTTACAACAGTTTGCTTAGTGACTGTTGCAACAACACTGAAAAAGTGACTTATGACCATTTTTCATACTTATGACCTTTGCAGCATGCCCAGGGTCACGTGACTTAAATTAATTATTAAATGCTATTAAATGCTTTGTCTTGGTCTAAAAATTTATTAAAGAGATTCTTTGGTAGTCAGTATTCTTTTCTATTAGTTGTTTAAGCATAAAAATTGTATCTGTGCAGCTTCTGTTTCTTTTAAAGTCCATCTGTTCTTCTGCTTATTGTGGTTTTATAACTGGTCTTAACAGTGTCCCAGGGTTATGTGATTCCCTTTTGCAACCTTTTGACAAGCAAAGTCAATGGGGAAATCAGATTCACTTATCAACCATGTTATTAATAACTGCAGTGATTCGCTTAACAAATGTGGCAAGAAAAGTTGTAAAATGGGGCAAAACTCATTTAATAAATTTCTTTCCCTCCTCATCTTATATCCTCTCCTCTCTCCCCTCCTTTTTATATCCTCTCCTCTCCCCCTCTTCCTTTTATATCTTCTCCTCTCCCCACCTCGTCCTTTTATATCAGAGGTGTCAAACTTGAGGGCCGCATCAACATTGTGGTTACTGTTGGGGGGAGGGGAGTGCAGCTGTGTGGCCAGCTCTACATCGCTCAGGTCAGGGGGCATCTGTGGGGGGGATCCAGTGCTCTCTGGTGGAGGGGGTTAGGGTTAGGCTCCTTCCCTCCCTCCTTCCCTCTTTCTCATTCCCATATCCTTCCTTCTCTTCTCCCTTTCTCCTCATGGCTTCACTCACAAAAAACCTTTTCTCTCTTTCTCACACACACATCTCTCCAAAATCCTCCCCATTCTCACACACACATTCTTCCAAATCCTTCCCATTCTCACGCACACATCCCTCTAAAATCCTTCCCATTCTTACATACACATTCCTCCAAATCCTTCCCATTCTCACACACACGTCTCTCCAAATCCTCCCCATTCTCATACACATGTTCCTCCAAATCCTTCCCATTCTCACGTACACATTCCTCCAAAATCCTTTCCTGTCTGTCTGTCTGTCTGTCTGTCTGTCTGTCTGTCTCTCTCTCTCTCTCTCTCTCTCTCTCTCTCACCACTTCTCTGACAAAAGCCTTTTCTCTTCTGCCTCTTTCTTCGGCGTCTTTTTTCTCTCTCACTCTCCTGGCAAAACTGCCTCCTTTTATATCCCTTCCTGTCTCTGTCCTGCGCTGCGCTGTGCAGCTTTGGCTCATTCCCTCCCCCGCTATACTGGGCTGGGCTGGACAGGGCCGTGTACCACCTTCCAGATGCCAGTGTACCCTGGTCTAGGGGTTGAGGAATTCTTTGAAATTTTCTCTCTACCTTTCTATTATTTTATTCTGATGATTCTATTAGTGGTCTTCTTATCATTAATTATTTCTGTGGGTTATAATTTTCTCTTTTCTGTATACTTTTGATTACTTAGTAAAATGTTCTGCAGGCTGTTCTCTCATTGTAGCACCCACTCTACCACTGAAATCTTCCATTACATACTGTATACTGTTAGCTTCTGCTTTTTCTACCTCCTCAAATAGTTCATCAAAGAAATCATCCTATTTTTTCCCCTGTATATTTATGATTACATGGTGCATACAATTGTGTATATGTTTCAATTTGCTCTCCTCTTTAAAGTATTATTATTTTCTGTCCAAATAGTTGTTGATGTCTA